GCCACACCACTTGCTGGAGCGTGAGAGGACCATCAAGAAGGGAATACAGTTACTGGCAGATGTGCCTAACAGTAGAGATAGACGGGAAGACCTCCTCTTCTGCCCTCCACTCTCTAGTGTCCATTATTATCATGCATTAGTCAAATAAAGAGGCAGCCTTTAGAATCAACTGCAGAGATGATCTTGGAAGAACCAAAGGAAGAAACAGCCTCTTTCTATGTATAAAGTTGTTTTAGTTTATTGTTCCTGATTTTTTTTTTCCTGAGATAGAGACTCACTATATAAACCAGGCTAACCTGGAATTCGCAGAACTCTACCTGTCTGCCTTCCCAGTGCTAGGATTTCAGGCATGTACCACCATGCTTGATTTTTTACATAAGTGTTGAAGATTAAATTCAGGTCCTCATTCTCAGATGGCAGTACTGACTGAATCATCTCATAGCCGCGTGCCTGGATTTTCTTTCTTGCTTTTTTTCCTATTTATTTATTTATTTATTTATTTATCATGCCTGGATTTTTTTTTAAAGTTTGTATCTTTAACCATTTTTAACATATTCCCCCATGTTTATTTGCTGTTAGTATTTCTTTTTTCAATAAAATCTCTCTTTTTTTTATCCCTCCCTCCCTTTTTTCCCTTCCAATTTTCCAATTATACTGGAGTTTTTGGTCTTTTGAAATATGGTCTCTACATATAACCAGAGCTGGCATAGAATTTGCAGTTTTCTTGCCTTTGCCTCCTGAGTGCCAGGTTGCAAGTGTTTGTTACCACATCTGGCTTCAAGTTTTTTTAATTTTAATATTTATGTGTCTGTGTATGAGTGTACATACATGTACCACATTTGTGCAGGTACTTAGAGAGGACAGAAGAGGGTATGGGCTCCCTGGAGCTTTAATGATTGGTGGTTTTAGTCACATGACATAGGTGCTAGGAATCAAACTCAGGTCCTCTGGAAGAACAGTATGTATTCTTAACCACTGAGCTGTCACTCCAGTTTTTGATTTGGTGAAACCTAGTTTACTTATTTTTTTCTGTTAAGTCCAACAACTCATTCTATCTCTAAATATTCATTGTTTTCTGCTGTGCTTTTCTTTGCTAAATGTATTATGGTTGATTTTTGTACTTAAGTCTATTACACATTTTGAGTTAGTTTTGTAAACTTGAGTTGTTGAATACGAATATTCCCTTGCTCTGGCACATTTCATTTGTAACTATCACCTCAATCAGTTGTTGAATAGTTTTATTATCTTGAAAAGAAACTCAGAGGGGTGGTGGTGGCACCCAACTTTAATCGTAGCACATAGGAGGCAGAGGCAGGAGGATCTCTGAGTTTGAGGCCAGCCTGGTCTACAAAGCTGGTTCCAGGATAGCAAAAGCTACATAGAGAAACCCTGTCTTCAAAAAAACTAAATAAATAAAATCTTAAAAAGAAAGAAAAGAAACTCTTTACTTATTAGCCATCAGCCTCTAGTCTTTGTAACCTTCCCAGCCTGCTTTGTCTGTAAAGATTCAGCTATCCTGGACACTTCATGTCAATGAAAACATGAAATATGTGATCTTCGTTACTTTTTTATTTATGTACTTATGCGTGTAGACCCTTGTTCTCACAGAGCTCTACCTTACATTTACCTCCTGAGTGATAGGATATATAATTTTTATGAGACTCAATTTATATATTTTTAATTCTGTCTTCTGTGTGGTCACCTAACCAAAAGTCACAAATGTGAACTCATATGTTTTAGTGTTTACATTTAGGAATGTGATCCATTTTGAATTAGTTTTTCTGTATCTGGAAGGGGCCTAACCTTATTCTTTTACCTGTCAGTATCCCATCACCCTGTTACTTGCTGCAAAGATCATTCAAGATCTACTGAACTGACTTGATATTCACTGGCAAAGTAACCTTCTTTTTTATTTTCTTTAATCTCTAGTATAGTTGCAATAAGGTGAAATCATGATGGGTATTTGTTGAATTTTTGATTTGTTTGTTTTGTTTAGTCTTTATGACAGAGTATGATAGCCTAGTTTGACCTGGGACTCACTATGTAGTCCAGGCTGGCCTTGAATCCACAGAGATTCTGCCTCAGTTTAATCCAGGTTTTTATGCTCTAGACTCTGCCTAACACCACTTCCTGCCTTTCTCTGACATTCTCACTCTACTCCAGTGACACTTAGTGTTTTTCTGTTAGCTGAGCAGGTCAGCTCATTCCTCTCAGAGCTGCTGATGTTGCTCCAGGTCCTGGCAGGGAACCCAGAGCCCTGTGTGTGCCAGGCAAGTCTGCAGTCTTAGCCCAGCTCTGTTTTGTACTGACTGGATTATTACCTGTGGACTGCTAGTCTTCCAGCACCTTGTTCTCCCAGGTCTTCACAGTCTTGGTTCTTTGTATTTTAAAAGTTCTTGTCAAATATTATCTTGTAAGAGAGACCCTCCCTAAAATTATTACTTACCTCTTCTCAGCCATTTTCTCTCCTTTTACTATGTTTTTTATCATTTGTCATTAAACTATAATTATTATCTATTCATTCACCTGACTGACTGCCATTTCCCAAGAAATGCTTATTTTATGGGATCTTATGTCTCAGTGTTTAGAATAGTTTATGTCAATAGTAGGTGCTTAATAAATACTAACTGATGGAGTGCATTGTGCCTGCATTAACTATAGAGAAAGAGAACATCATGGCAGAGGGTTGCCTATATCCTCCATCCCTGTCTGTTCCTGAAAGCAACTGGTATTCTGGACAATAAAAGGGGTAGGTAGTTCACTTTAACCAGGACATCTGTGTTTTGATTGGCACACTGTCACTGAGGATATCACTAAAAGTCAACTTGTCATGCACTTTACACATCCTGGGTGTAACTTGGCAGTTAGCAATACCAGGTACTTTCACTTCTTGTAAGTCACACGACAGCCTGAGGAACATTAGACTGAGTTCTTAAAGACTAAACTCAGATCACCTGTTTGTGTGTATAGCTGTAAGTTGTTTGGTATGGTTGAATAATATACTTACAGAAAAAAAAATGAACTTCAGTGTAGTACAGAGATGGCTCATCGGGTGCTTCTGGTCTAGGCAGAGGTTCCCAAGAGAAGCCTCAGTGCTTTAGAACTGTTTCCCTCCCTCGCTTTCTAACAAATCATGGTTATCAAAAGAGAACAAGAAAATACAAAACCTTAAAAAAAAAACTTTCATACTGGGCGGTGGTCTGAATCCACGCCTTTAATCCTAGTACTTGGGAGATAGAGGCAGGTGGATCTCTGTGAGTTTAAGGCCAGCCTGGTCTACAGAGTGATTTTAAACAAACAAACAAACAAACAAAAACCAAAACAAACTTTCAGACCTAGATGCTTCTTTGAATTTTAATTCTGTAGTTTATAAATAGGTACCTTGCTTGGGTACAGTAATACCTTTTGTATTTGGGAGGCAGAGGCAGACAGCTCTCTCTGAATCTGAGACTATCATGGTTTTATAGAGCAAGTACCAGGACAGCTAGGACTGCATAGAGAGACTTTGTCTCAAGAGAAAACTATCTTGAACATAAATATCTATAGTCATCTGGATATTGGGCACTAGAATTCAGTCATTAATTGTTAACTAATCATTTGTTTGTTTGTTTTCTTTTGAGCTAGGGTCTCAAGCATCCTATTCTGGCCTCAAACTCACTATGTAACAGAGGAATCAACTTGAACTCCTGATCCACCAGCCTCCACTGCTCAAGCACTAAAGTTACAGATGCAGGCCACTATACCCTCTAACTAGCCACTTGAGAGCAAAGGTGAAGGCTAGATAATAATGGGATGGCATCAGTGAACTAAAAGACAAAAGCTAACTCAATTCTTTCCATGTGAAGTAATTTTTCAAGAATGAAGCAAAGTTTTTTTTCAAATTACATTTTAGTGATTTGCTATTGCTAGGCCTTTATTAGTATAAATATAAGTATTTGGACAAGAAGTAAATACATCCCACATGTAAAGAAAAACTAGATATATTGCATATAATATAGATAAATCTATGTGACTGATGGTTAACAAATAGCATGATCTTTTGGGTACTTAAAATTTTTAAGTTTTGCTGAACTAATAACAGAAGTTAGAAGAATTAATGAAATTAAAGTTTCCAAGGACCTAGAGTTAATTGTTAAAGATGAAAATAATTAACAATTTCTGTTTTTAAAACTGTGGCAAGTCTTGCTTTGTTACTGAGGCTGGTCATAGCAAATACTTAAAAAGACAGTAACTTGGGCTGGATTAAAACACATTTGTGTTTTGCTGTTGATAAGATATATACATAAAATATAATAACATAGAAATACTGTAAGGAACAAGAAATGACTCAAAATTGATAAAAGTGATGGACAGATGGCATGGGCATTCTGAGTTTGTGGACAGCCTGAGATCTCAAAAACAAAATAAGTGTGAAAGTGTCACAGGTGGAGGACAGGCTCAGCATCAAGGTCACAGGCATGTGCCGCCACAGTTTGAAAACATCTGTGTTATCTGAACACTGAGTTTTTCTTTTTGTTTCTGTTTTATGTGTATGAATATTTTTGTCTGCCTATACATCTGTGTATCACATGTACGCAGTGCCTGTGGAGACCAGGAGAGGGTGTTAGCGTCTGGAACTGGACAGTTGTGAGCACCTAAAAGAGTGTTGGAAAAGGAGCCAACGCTTCTTAACTGCTGAATCATCTATCCCCCGAATTTTCTCATTTTTCCTCCTGAATACTTCATTTATTATAGTTCCTTAAATGCATCTTTATAGTCTTTACAGTTGCATGTAATAACTATCATTTTTGCACAGTTCAAATATAACTATGCTGGAGTTTTCATAATGTGTTAGACTGAGTTGTAAACAGAAACTGCTGGGTTCTGCCTTCTGAACTGGAGTTCTCCTAAGCATTTCTATTCGGTGTTGTATTAGAACACAGGCTTACAGAGTAATGGGATTGTTTTCATTATTGTTTCTAATCTTGCCAGGGCTAGTAAGACAGTCATTTGTTTTCCAGACTGATGACATTGTAAAAGCTGTTGGCAACTGCAGCTACAACCAACTGGTGGAGAAGATCATCTCCTGTAAGCAGTCAGACAACAGCCAGTTGGTTAGTGAAGGTGGGTGAGTGCTGATGATACCTGGTAAAATAATTTGTCTTGAAATACATTGAGTTTACATTTATCTTCTATAAGTAAATAAAATAATTGTTTCTTTATAACATTTTCATTATTGTAAATTTATTAGTTAGAAATTCTAAAAATATAAGTGGTGGCTCTTATAGGAATTAAAAGAAGCATTTGTAGACATGCAGGAAAGGATCCTTCTCAAGCCATCTTCAGCTGACTGTAAAATCAGGGCAGGTTGCTAAGACCAGACTTTGGATCACTTGCGGCTTTGGTGAGATCAGATGTCCAAAGATTACTACTTGTGCTTACCGAGTGGATTGTGTTACTGTCCCTAAACCCTCATCTAAAGAGCTTATATGTATTTCCCACAGTGTCTCAATGCAGTTCAGTATGAAAGCCTCATTCTGGAACATGAGTAACTGACTGAAATTACTAAATTCACTGTTATGGAGACAGGTCAATATTTTTTCAGGGTTTTCCTCCTTTGAAGCCCCTCCCACTCACAAGAGTTCTTTGCCACTTTTCCTCATTAATCCACATATACCCTTCTTTTAAAAAAAATACATCTTTTAGATGTGCTCCAATTAATAATGAGTAAAAAGATTTGAAACCAGAATGCTCTCAGGTTGAAAGCCATTTCAATAAACCTTCACCACCATTCACTCCATTGTTTCATACAAGGACATACTGAAGTTCTCCCTCCTTAGCATGGAAAGGAAAAGAAGGGAAAATCAAAATAAGCAGGGGCAGGGGATGAGTTTCCCACTCTCACTCAGACACAGTTCTTCAAAATGCAGCACAATAAAGATTATAGTTAATGCATTTTTATAAATTAAAGCTAGTGAGTATAAGGATATATAATAGGCTAGGGGCTGGGCAAGATAGCACATGCCTTTAATACCAACACTCAGGAAGCAGAGGCAGAAGGATCTCTGTGAGTTTCAGGCCAGCCTGATCTACAGTGCAAGTTCCAGTACAACCAGGTCTAGACAGAGAAACCCTGTCTCAAAAGCAAACAAACAAAAGAATGGACTAGGCTAGGGAAATGACTCAGTTGGTAAAATTCCTCTTGTGTAAAACTGTAAATAGGCATTTCTCTCCTGCCCACCATTCAACTATAACCTCTCACAGACTTACTAATTATGTTTGGCCAATGACTCAGGCTTATTACTAGCTAGCTCTTATGTGTAAATTAACCCATTATTTCTCTTCTATGCTTTGCCATGTGGTTCATAGCTTGTTACCTAATTTTCTACATGTCTTGCTTCCTCCATGACTGACTGGCATCTCCCAGATTCTGTCTTCTCCTCTATCTCTGCTTGGATTTCCTGCCTGGCTCCATCCTGTCTTGCCATGTGCTAAATCAGCTTTATTTATCAACCAATGAGAGCAACACATAATCACAGCATACAGAAAGACATCCCACAGCATAAGACCTATGTTGGATTTCCCGCATCCCACATAAAAACTAAGTACTTTGAAGACAGGAACATCCTAGGAGCCAGTCTAGCTAAATTGCTAAGGACCCTGTCTCAGACACAAGTGGATAGCAACTGAGAAAGACACTCTAAACCAACCTCTGGTCATCCACAGGAACATCACACATACCAAAGAACAAGCAAAAAAAAAAAAAAAAAAAAAAAAAAAAAAAAAAAACCCTTGTTGGAGGAGGCTGCTAGTTAGTTCCCAGCTGCTTAACCCTCAAATAATCACACAGAAACTATGTTATTTAAATCACTGGTTGGCCCATTAGCGCTCACTTCTTATTGTCTAACTCTTATATCTTAATTTAACCATCTCCATTAATCACCAAAAGGTCACGGCCTACCAGCAAAGTTTCAGTGCATCTGTCTCCGGCTTCAGATCCATGGCTTCTCTCTAACTCTGCCCTTCTTTTCCCCAGCATTTAGTTTAGTTTTCCCCACCTCGTTCTGTTCCCCTATAGCTCTACTATAGGTCCAAAGCAGTTCCTTTATTAACCAATGATAATCACAACATACAGAGGGAAATCCCACATCAAAAACTATATGCGATCATATAAAAAGATGTATGCATGAATCTCATATTAACTAAGAGTCCTACTAATTGTGTTAATTATCCAGGAGTTTAATATATTTATGCAAAAATGCAAGTAATAAAAGTTTATACCTGTCTTTTACTTGAAAAAAAATAACAGGAACATATAGGAGCATTGATAATTGATTTGAGTGATATCTGTTTTATTATAACTTAAGGAAAAATGTTTAAATTTTAGGAAGGAAACAAGCAATAAAGCTATCATAAAAATGTTTTCTACCAGTTATAGTGTCTCATGCCTCCTCTAATGCCATGCTTTAGAATCTGAGATAGGAAGACTGCCTTGAATCCAGCCTGAGCAGGGCAGCTACTTAGTGAGTCCCAAGCCAATATGGGCTACATTGTGAGATCATCTCAAAACAAACAAGAAAATCTTTTTTCTCTCCATATGCAGAATTCTACTCACTAAATGTACTCCTTTCTATATTCCCGATGTCAGATGTATACCTGAAAGGAAGCCTTTAAAAAATTGCTATCTATGAAATCTATTTTATCAACAACACACAATATATTATTAGAATTATACTATTCTAGTGTTGGGGAAGCTGCAGGCTGCATTCCTGCCACCTGGCTCCTGGCTGCCTGGCTAGCTTATGCCCCAAAATAACAACACACAAACTGTATTCTTTTAAACACTGCTTGGCTCATTAGTTCTAGCCCTTACTGGCTAATTCTCATATCCAGATCAACCCATATCTAATAATCTGTGTAGCACCAGATAATTTGGGAAAGTCAGTTCCTCCATCACTTCTCTTTTTCCCCTAACATGACAATGTAAGTCATTGCCTCTCTGACACTGACTCCCCAGGATAATGGGTAGGTATAGGAACATAGAATGGATAATTGGAAAGAATATCTTGACAAAACAAGACAGAATCAGCTGCTCTGCAGTGCATGGAATGTTCAGGTACATAACACCAGTCATGACTTGTATAAGGTCCCAAAGTTCACACAAACAAGGAAGAGCCATCTGGTTTTGACTCACATTCCAACAACTTCTTCTCACATGGTTCATGGTCACACCAACTTGATTCATGTTCAAGAAGTAGTCTAGTTCTTTTTTGTATGTAGCCTTTGACTGTATCTTCCTTTTGAACCAATAAAGTATCCAAACTTGTTTATCTCTAGTCTTAGAAGCTTTAATCTTAAATGACAACTACTTTTTTAAATCCAAACATTTCATATGCCATAAAGTCTTAGAATATAAAAAATACTTTTGCTAGCATTCTTCTTGATGGGGAAGAATGTTACATAGCTGGTGTCAGCAGAAGCAGCCTTTCTCTTGGTGCTGACACTTTGTGAGCACAGCACAGCATTGGTACAGGAAACAGAGTGTTCATTGTCTGTTTTCTCTTTTGACTGGCCATATCTTCTTGAATCTGGTTGTTATAATGATTGCTTGTGACACAAAAGTAAGACTCAATCAGAAAACCCCCACAGGACCAGCTGCCATACTCACCCAAAGACAGTCATTTAGTTTCACACCCTTTTAAAGTAACATCTTAACAACTATTCCTAGGATAAACACATACTTAGTAAACTGGCTCCAGGATATTTATTCATTTGCTCAAACTTTTTTCCAATTGCATTCATACTGTCTTTATTAAGTAGTGGCAATCATTATTAATTTATGAAGTAAAACCATAATTTTTGCCCAACTTTTATTTTGAGAATTCTCAAAACCCTAAAGACTCTCTTGGTGAACATTCACAAGCCCTTAATTCACCAGTTGTTCAAGCATTGAATACTTGCCCTCTTTTTGTAGTCCTACACAACATATTTTTTCCTACTAAATAATATTAGAGTTAGTTGTGAGTGTCACAGCACTGAAGTGTATCATCATTAAAAGAAAGAATTCTGTGTGACTCCTCTATTATGATCCAATGACCTTGGGCAAGGCAATGTTACTGCTGTGTTACGTAGGACGTTATTTGTGTGTTCCATTTCCTGGTTTTTTTTTAACCATTACCTCTAACTTCCCATCTCTTTCGATGTACACTCCAGCCAAGGATCAGTTAGCAGTTGCAACAGCTTCAATCTCTGGATTTAGAATAGATCCCTGTTTTTCTTTTCCTTTCTTTTCTGCCTCATTTTAAACCTTTGTTTCATTCTTCGAGAATTTCATACATTTTTTATCGTATTCTTCCCTGATCCCCAACTTCTTCCAGATCCTTTCCTCTCCCTATCCGCCCAACTATATGTTCGTTCTCTTTAAAAAAGAAAAGCCAGGGGCTAGAGAGATGGCTCAGTGGTTTAGAGCATTGTTTGCTCTTCCAGAGGTCCTGAGTTCAATTCCAAGTGACTACATAACCGCATGATGGCTCATAACCATCAATAGTGGAATCGTATTCCCTCTTCAGGCATAAAGTCATACATTCACATAGAATACTTATATACATAAAATAAATAAATAAATCTTAATTTTAAAGTGTTGGTCAACCACTCCTGAGTATTGAGTCTGCCCTGGAGTGTGGGGATATACCCAGTGTCACTCCATTGAAGTAAACTGATTTTTCCCTCTCGCTAGAGAATCTAGCTGGTACTCAACTACAAGCTGACTAGCATTCATAGCGGTAGGAGGTGCTACATACACTACTGGAGAAGTAAAGTAGTCATCAGTCTCACCCAGTTACAAACCCTGTGAGTTGTACTAACAACCTGCCTGCAAGATGTGCCACTGGTACAATTAGTGGCATGACTACTATATGAATAACCAACTATTTTTTGGTGTGACGTAAGGTCCACTCCATGAGATGAAACCCATACCTTAGACTGTCAATGAGGCCAAGAACCTGACATTATATAGGTCATGGGCCCAGGGAAATCTTACTATTCTGCTAAATGAACACAGCAATAAAACAATTCCCAATGGCACATTGCTGTACCCATAGATCAATGTCTTGCTTAACCCACATCAGAGAAGCTTCTTATAGCAAATAGTAATTAACACAAAGACCCGCAGCTGGACAACAAGCAGAGAGAGAGAGAGAGAGAGAGAGAGAGAGAGAGAGAGAGAGAGAGAGAGAGAGAGACTTTAGAGTATTCAGCCCTGAAAGAGATGTCTTACCATATTCTCTCTCTGTCAAAGTTCAGGCGTCTGTATGGGAATGGAAGAGTGGAAGAGCCTGAGGTGGTGGATGATTCTAAGGAAACAGCATTGTCCAGGCACAACAGGGCAGATGCACATATGAACTCATAGAGACTGTGACAGTGACAATATGCATGAGACTGACGCACGCTCAAGTCAGACAAACCTGCCACCCTCCACACCCCTACAAAGGAAGGGCATTGACACCAAGTTCTACCACTAGCCAAGAAGCTATTCTTTTAAACTTTTTAAAACTCAGTGTGTGTGTGTGTGTGTGTGTGTGTGTGTGTGTGTGTGTGTGTGTGTGTATGGGGGTGACCACTGAACAGAAAGGAGCTTTAGATCCCCTGGAGTTATAGGCAGTTGTGAGCAATCCTAGGTAGGTGCTAGAAACCAAACTTGGGTCCTCTGCAAGATCAGTATGTACTCTTAACCACTGGGCCATGTCTCCAGCCCCCTTTTATACTTTCATGCGTTTGTGGCATTGTTCTCTTCCCCCTCCCTACCACCTCTCTCTACTCAGCCCTCATCTACTCCCACTCTTCTCTACTAACATTTTTTAAATAGTGAAGGCCAGTATTTTATAGACTAGCCTCAATTTTGATTTATCTGATTGTTCTCTTATGAGTAGATACAGGCAATATAATTTTGGTTGGAATGCCACCCAGATGATGTCCTCTATAGTGGTCTTTTTAATTGCATCAAATTGGGTGCATGAGTCAGATTATTCATTATTAGTTATATTTAAACTTGAGTGAGGTAAAATAGGTCATATATCTTTATTGTAAAATTATTCTTTTGCTTTGTAATTAATAAGTAATAATGTGTAATTAATAATCTGTCATTAGACTTTGAAACTGTGTGAATAGCCTTTTTTTTCTAAGAATTGTATACCCAATATACTTGGAACCATTGGTTTTTAACTGAATCAATTATGATTATGGTGGTTATTGTTTTTGTTACTTATTAGCTGTTATTCTTCTGTTTAAAAATTAGCTATTCAAAATTGAACCTATATTGGATTAAACTTACCATTTAAGAGACAACAAAAGAATTAGGAAATATTTTATTTTTAAATTCTTAATAAGTTTATACCTTATGGTTCGGGGCAATATGTAATTCAGGTGGAATTCACAATCATCTCTGCACTAAATTGGTAACATTTAATACCAATATTAATTCCCATGGTCCTAGTCTTCCCTTTGTCATAGCTAGTTTGGGCAAATCATCTATTTGTGAGCCTATTTCGTATTCTATAAAAAATGTGTCTAGTGTTCATTTTTTAATTTCACACCAACATAATGGTAGTCTGCTCTGTCTCCAGTGAATTTTTTGTATTTTCTCAAGGAAGCATTTATGAGCATAGATATTGCAACCAGGAGTACTTTTGAGCAAACAGTGCATTCTTCAATGTGGTACATAATAGTAAAAGCTTGAATATGTTCTGCTGAACAAGGTGACAACAATAACATGAAGGGGAACTCTTATTTCCCAATGTATAAACACAAGTGTGCTGTAACCCTCAAACTCTCCTCTCCCTAACGCAAGTCCTTGTTTTTTGTGTTGCATTGTAACTTTCTATAACTCCTTTGTCCTGCCAAGTGCCTGACAAAAAGTAAAGGAAAAGGAGTGCCCTAACCTGCCTTGACCAGCTATACCGGGCTTGCCAAGATTCCCACCCAGTTATTTTCAGCTTCTCATTGAAGTATCTTTTAAAACAAACTCAACTTCACCTCTTGTCTGCACCTCTTGGTGTGCTCTGTCACTCTCTGCATGAATGTGTGTCTCTCTGTCTCTCTGTCTCTCTCTGGTTTTTTGAAACAGGATCTCACTGTATAGCCCTGGATGGTCTGGAACTCACTCTTTAGACCAGGCTGGCCTTGAACTCACAGAGATTGAATGCTTACACCACCATGCCTGGCTTACCTCTCTTATAAAATGTTGTTGAGTAACTTCCCTGTTGTTTTATTGTGTCTGTGTCTCTTGTAAACCACCTGAAAGAGTGAAAGAGTTTTCCTAAGAGACTATACTTGTGGATGAAAGAGTTTTCACATCACTGTTTCTTCAGGACAGGAATGATCAGGGACACTGCTCCCATAAGAAAATTAGAAAGATGCATCTCCAATCTGGGGGCCATTATGTAACAGGAAAATTGGCCTTTGTATACAGTTGGAACAAATGTAAATAGGAAAAGTAACTTTCTGACTTTGAAATTCCTCCTTCTCATAGTACACATTGGTTCCATAGGCTTTGTAGCTGAGCAGTTTCTAAACAATACAGCCACTCAACTGACGTACCATGGATTATGTGAACTGACTTCAACCGTTCAGGAAGGAGAGCTCTGTGTGTTCTTTCGGAATAACCATTTTAGCACCATGACAAAACACAAGGTAGGATATAGAAACAGATTTTTTTTTACTCCCTATCAAAGGAGCTTGATTTAGAGATGTGTTTTGACCTGCTACAGAATAAGATTGACCATAATATTCCTTAGCCATCAAGTTGTGAAGGTAATTATTATTAAATACTGCATTAGAATGGGATGGATTAGCAATTGAAATGTTACCTTGATCAGCTTTTATTTTAAATGTAGTCTCAACTTTTTTTTATCTCAGATTATTGCATTCAAGTGTTTACTTTTCTACTTTCTTGGAGAGAGGATTTCACTGGGTAACTCACACTAGCCTTGAATTTGAGATCTTTCTGCCTCAGTCTTTGGAACACTGGAATTACAGGCATGTGCAATCATACCTAGCTAGGTTATTTCTTACTTAGAGGAAGCAAAATACCTGGAGCTAAAACCAAGGTGACTATGAATGAAGGATTTTATTTTAAGCATTAAAAGATATTAGAAGTTAGAATTAAGATTTGCCCTAAACTGGAATGTGTTGGAGCTTGCTTATGATGAAAGCTACTGAAGAGGCTGAGCAGAAGGATTGCAAGTTCAAGGCCAGCCTGGGTTACATAAGTAGATTCCCCACCCTGAGACATACACAAATTATCTTTATGACAATGTTGACTTTTGTTAAAATTATCAGTGTGTTTATGGTTTTGCACACAGACATACACTCTTAGGAATCCATCCCTTTTAGTCATCTCTTAGATCTGTCTCTTGATTTTACAGGTAACATCTGATCTAGCTCAGGTATTTATCATCAACCTAGATTCCTATGGCAAAATGCTGTTCTTACCAGGCTGATAATACAGCACAAATGTTCAATTAGCACCTATCCTAGAGGATAAAACGCAGGTCCCCTCTGCCACAGTTCTCATCCTATATGAGTTTAATGTGTTCTCATTTACTGCCATTCTTATTGCTTCATACTATTTGGGAAGCTCTCCTCACTTCTGCTTGCCTATCCCAAAATTACCCATCCTTAAAGAAGCATTCGAATACTAACTTACTGAAAGGTACCCCTTTTCTACTTAAAATAGTGATTCTCAGCCATGATTATATCCTAGACCTATCTGGATTGCTTGAAGGAAGGAAGGAAGGAAGGAAGGAAGGAAGGAAGGAAGGAAGGAAGGAAGGAAGGAAGGAAGGAAGGGTGTCCAGAATTTACCACTAATGCAATTAAATCAGAATCTCTAAAGGAGGTGGGATCTGAACACCAGGTTTTGTTTTCTGTTTGGTTTTTGCAATCTCAAGGATTAGACCCAGTGCTTTACAAATGGTCGGCAGGCACCCCGCCACTGTGCTGCGCACTGTCCTGCATCAGTAGCGCAAGCACTCCCCAGGTGATTTGAATGTGAGTCTAAGACTGAGGACTCCTGCGGCAACCGTCCTGTTAGTGGCCACACTGTCCTTATGGAGCTCTTTCTGTTTTGTGTCTTGTTACCAGTTTGTCTCCCATGTGAATGTCTGCTTATTTTCTAAATGAAGGTAGCTTATTGACACCATAAATCACATCTTCATGTTTCCATCCATGCTTTTTCATCAATGGGTGACATGGGATAGTGTAAAATGATTTGTTTGCTAATGAAAGAGTTCCCCAAAGCCACAGCTCTTCTATGACTGTCATATTTTTTGTTTTTGTTTTGATTTTCGAGACAGGGTTTCTCCCTAACTTTTGGTTCCTGTCATGGAACTAGCTCTCGTAGTCCAGGCTGGCCTTGAACTCACAGAGATCCTCCTGCCTCTGCCTCCCGAGTGCTGGGATTAAAGGCGTGCGCCACCACCGCCAGGCACCTGTCATATTTTTTAAAAGTACACGTCGTCTTATTGCTTCATAGTTAGGAGTGTATAAGATCTAAGATAAGAGTCATTGACATTCCTCAAGAATCTAAAGCAAAAAGATGTCAGATCCCAATGGCTGCTCTGTCATCTTGTTTTACTTGTCCTCTTGAGACCTTGGATCCGCTGATTCATTAACAAAGCTAAGCTAACCCTGACAAGTGTAGCCATAGAAACAACAGCCAGGGTTCCTGACATTCGCTGCTAAGATACTTCTGTCAAGGACACATACCAAAAGTTCTGAGAGCTCTTATCAGGATTTTATCTGGAAAGACTCCCCTGAAAAGGTCACAAACGGAAAGCCAAAAGCCAACAGTGGTAGAGCACTTGCCCAACATACACAAGACCCTAGATTCAGCCTCCAGAGCACTGCAAAAAAGGAGAAAAGGAAGGAAGGAAGGAAGGAAGGAAGGAAGGAAGGAAGGAAGGAAGGAAGGAAGGAAGGAAGGAAGGAAGGAAGACAAGCATCTGAAATCTGAGTTGAATCAGTTCACCACAAAAAGAATAACTAAGCAGAAGTAACTAGCAGCATGCGTGCAAAGGCCCTGAAGGTGATCTCAGCAAAAGAGAATTGTGAAGTGGAAGCTTAGAAGAAAGATTATTTTCTGACTTTTGTTTTTTGACACAGGGTTTCTCTGTGTGGCCCTGGCTGTCCTGGAACTTGCTCTGTAGACCAGGCTGTCCTTAAACTCAGAGAGCCACCTGCCTCTGCCTCCTGAGTGTTGAGATTAAAGGCATGTGCCACCACCACCTGGATGAACTGTGTTTTCTTAATGATCCTGGTATTTCTTTTCTTCTTCATTTGGCCCAAGAGTGAGTTGGAATGAAATGGTCCTTTGGGAAAACAAGGTCTCTGACTGTCTTTGGTGACCGAGAGCTTTCTCTCACTCTTCCCTCCCCTCCCACCCCTCACCTCATATGTGCTAGGTAAGCACTGTATCATAGAGCTACATTGCTTCTGATGTTCTCTGTTCTGTTAAAGCCTTGTTCCCAGTCAGGAAGCCTTTACTGACCAGCTAGGTATCCCCAGTTTTGTATGGCTGAAGAGGATGTGCCTATATATAGACCAAGTAGGCCTATCTATGTCATAGGAGCTCAGAAAACATGTACGTTCTGCCTTTTATTCTGCTTCGAAGATTTCCTATTAAGTTTATTCTGTAGCTTAATACTGTACTAGTGTCATGCGCTCTCGTGTCTCTTGTGTGACATTAATTTACTTTAAACTTTGAGAGTGGATGTAGAATTTAGTTAGGAGACACTCCAAGAGATAAAGGAAGGAGGTTATAGTGCTTTGGACAAGGGGTAGTAATGACTGTACAATGTAGAAAGATTCCAGAGTGGGTCAGGAGATAGATCAGCCAAATATCTTCATTGGATTTGAAAAATAAGTGATTTCTGGGTCCTCTGTAGATGGTGATAGTGAGGCATGGTGGCTCACACCTTCAATCCTAACACTTAGGAAGCTGAAATAGGTGAACCTCTGTGAGTTCAAGGCCAACCTGATCTACACAGCAGTTCCAGGACAGCCAGAGTTACAGAACAAACAAACCAAAAAAAAAAAAGAAATAGAAATAGAAAGATAGATAGATAGATAGATAGATAGTAGATAGATAGATAGATAGATAGATAGATAGATAGATAGATAGAGAGAGATACAATACAATGTTAAGGGTTTAAGATACTCCTGAGGTGACATTCAAAGTGGAAATACTGAGTAAATGCTTTGGACATACAGATGGAACTTTAGGATTTACAAGAAACTACTGTAATTTTGGAAGGGGGTTCTAAGAAAAGTGATGGCCCATGGCTTTAATCCCAGCACTCGGGAGGCAGAGGCAGGTGGATCTCTGTGAGTGCGAGGCCAGCCTGGTCTACAGAGCTAGTTCCAGGACTCCAAAGCTACAGAGAAACCCTGTCTCGAAAAACCAAAAAAAGAAAAGGACTCAGAAGAGAGAACCTAGGATTGAGATTCAATGAATGCCAGCTTTTAAAGGGTCAACTCAAGAAAGAAACATTAGTAAAGACAGCTGAGAAAGAAGAGGGCACTGGGGTGGGGGGGGGAGTTAAGAGTGAGACAGCAGGGAAGCCAGGGGAGAAGAGGTAAGAACTCTGAGGGTAGAGTGGAAGGAGGGGACCAGAATGGCAGCAAAAGAATTTGAGTTGCTTAAGAGTGGTTGGAATGGAGAAGGCAGTAGCAGGCACTCCTAGAAATGATTTGCTGAGTGCTAGAGAGATGCTTCAGTTAGGAGCACTGGCTGTTCTTTCAGAGGATCTGGAACCCAAGTCATGTGATTCTTACACACACACATACATAAAAGAAATAAACATTAAGAGAAGCATACACACAC